TTATTATTATTATTATTCTTTTCCTTTTTGTTTCGTTTTCTCTTTTTCAAAGCAAGTCCATCTGGAAAGCTGTTCTCCCCTCTCCCCCCACAACGCGGCAGCCCTCGATAGTCGCAGGTAAGTGGTGTTCGGATTTCCTTTTTTCCCCCCCGTTTTTCTGCCTTTCTCTTTCTCACTCACAAGCAGGAACTTCACCGACTCGTTCTTGCAGCAAAGTGTCTCTTCTGGATCGGCGGGACACACCGGAGCGAGTCGGAGCCTTCGGCCTCAATGAAGTTGGCTGGTTGTGGTTCACCGGCTTGGCTGTTTTATTTCCTCTTCTGAAAATAAGACATTCCTGCGAAAGGAGGACGAGGCAAAAATGGGTCTCCTGCACGTCTCGGCGGAAGACCCCAAGATGGCTGTGGTTTCTGGGAACTGCATCCAGGCATTTCCCCTAGGATTTTCAGAAGGGCCACCCTTGGTTGTTCCAAACCAAGCCTTTTAGTGGGCTCAGTTAATTAATTCCTTTGACTCTCTGGGAGATCAAGGGCGCGCTCCACCAGGAGAAGCATATCGCCCCAGGCTTGCTGGCATAAATGAGAGGGGCGCTGGAAGGCCTCCGAGACCCCAAAAGGTTCCCCTGAAACTCTTCCATCGCCCGTTCATACCCAAGTCTTCTTTAACTAGGGAACATGTGCACCTCCGTGGGATTAAGCTACTTCCGTCCATTCATTTAATCAATTCCCCATCACGTAATTAATAATTTCCTCCCCACACTGCAGGATAAATTACAATTTGGTGACAACATTGTGCGGTGCCAGACTAGAGTCAACTGTCGCTCAGGAGCGGGGAGTGACTCAACCTCAGCAACTTGAAGGTGGGTGGACTTCGACTCCCAGAATTCCCCAGCCAGCCATGGGAATTCTGGGAGTCCAAGTCCGCCCACCTTAAAGTTGCTGAGGATGAAAAACCCTGATCTAACTCACTACTAAGGGCCAACTTCTCTGAGCACTAAATGCCTCTGGGGGCACCCCCCCGAGGGGAGCTGTCTGGTTCTTTGGACCCCTCCTCAAGAAGCAGAAAAGGGGAAAATTGCAGTTGCTCACCTGGGACAGGCAGAGCGAAGGAGGCCCCGGCTACCGGAAGAGTCTCGTAAAGTCCCTCAGAGCCCAACAAACTTGTTTGCACTCCTCAGCGCTGTCGGGGGGAAGGAGAAGAGGACAAGAAAGAGGCTCGTTATTGTGGGGGGGGGAGAAGATGATATACACAACCCGACACTCCACGGACGTCGCTGGGCGAAGCGTCCGCCCCTTTCGTCTCTGAGCTTCTCTTTGCAGAGCTGATGAGCCCCTTTGAGAGGAGAAGGGAGCAGGAAGCTACTTTTCGGCAAGGGGGGTGTCGGGAGCAGAGAAGGAGAGCCCGTGCAAGCCCCCATCTCCCTGCAATCGAGGGGCTGTGGGCCAGCCGCTCCCCAGAGAGTGGGGAGTACCCCGTGGGGGTTTGGAGAGGCCATAGTAAAGCGGGCACTGCCCGAGAGGACAAGGCGTTCCTCCCTGTCACGGAGGTATGAAGTGAATCCCTCCTTCCAGCGAGACCAGCCCAAAAGCGGAGCGGGGGGGAGCGAGGGACCAGCCGTGGGGGGGAGATGTAAAAAACTAGTTAAAAGGCAGTATACCTCTGGAGACCAGGAGCTAGAAGAAACTGTCGGAGAAGGCCTCTGCCTGAGAACTGCAAAGCCTGGCTGGGGAAAGAGGAACGCAGGACGGAAGGACCCCCGTCACCTGCCAGCCTCACAAGGGCTTAAAGGCACCTCTTAACAGCTGCCCACCGGGGGGAGGAAAGGTGCACCAGGAGCTGCTTTTCATGCACACGACCTGCCAACAAGGCAGCTTCTTCACCAAGGACAGACCGATGAGCCCACAGGGTGACAGGCCGGGGAACCACTGGCATGTCATGTCGTTCCTCCCGGTTGCTCAGCCTTTGGGCGATGACTAAAGATGACTGAACGCAGGACCAGAAACGAGAGCAAGGGCCTTGGGTTCCTGACATCTGTCCCTCCCTTCCAGCTACATCCAACCCTCTCTTCTCTGCTCTCTCCAAGGGAAAGAACAGCCAAGAAAATCTGCACCCAGAAGCCCCCTCAGAAGCTAACTCAGGCAGGGGGGCCTGCTCCTAACGCCTCTTTCTCTCCCCCCCCCATTGGGAAAGTAGCCCCACAGGTTGGGGAACAGGCAGCTGGCACAGGTGCCCCTTGGCCTGTCGACATCTAAACTGCCTGACACCGGGAGGCACACAGGAGCAAGCCAGGACATGCCCCTGAAATTTGCCAGGGGGAAGAAGGCCAGCACAGCAGGTGCCGGCAGTGCCACGGGGGCTCAGAAGTGGAGGCGGCCATCCCGAGGCCAGAATGGTTGGCGTGGGCTTGCCCGAGCCGGTCGTGCCGAGCTGGCAACACCTTCGAAACAGGAGCCTTCCGTGCTGCACAGGAAGGCTGCGCAGCGGCACAGGTTAAAGCAGGCCTAGAAAAACCTGACTGGCAAGGGGGAGGGGGGTGGGAAGTCAGACGCCAGCTGAGGGTGGCCAAGCCCCAGGACGCCCGCCATGACGTAGCAGTTCGCCAGGGGCCAGAGGACGGCTTCAAGGGTGCACCTTTGCAAAAGGGATGCCTCTCTTTTAATGCGCGCAACCAGACCGAGCTTAACATCCCTCTCTCCCTTGCGCGCACTGGCAGCATCGCATCCACAAGGGAGATCGGCTTTGTCAAAAGCAACCCCTGGAAAAGAGCCATAGCGAACCTGTGGGGTCCCCTCATCTTTTAGGGGGCCCAAATTCCCCACAGACTCCTTGCCTGAGTTCCCCCACCAGGCCTGACCCTCCACCCCAGTGGCCAAAACCCCACTGTTTTCGTGTCAACACTCTATGCCCAAATAAAACAAAGGACTTTGTGGTATAACTCACAAGCCCCGTTCACACAACGCGCAAAGAGGAGGACAAGGGTTTCCACAACTGGCAGGATCACACGCTACCCGATTCCACCTTGGCCTAACCTGGCAGGTTGGGCCCACCCAGTCCTCTGGCACGGCGTGGGCCGCCTCCATTTGCTCCTTAAGAGGGACCCCAAATCTCCCGAGAAGCAGCCACGGGTTCAGATGCACTGCCTCTCCCCCACAGAAAGGCACGTCCGGATGTACCTGTCGGCCCCCCCCACTGCACCCCCAGAGGTGGATGCCCAGCAACTTTGGGTCACCCTGTGCTGGGTTGACCCACCCCTGTTCACGGAAAGGCTGCTGCCTCTCACATATGTTACTTCCAGAACTACAACGCTCCCCACTCCCCCCGTCCTGCCTCTGGCATTTCTGTGGGGTTCAGTCCACGCAGGGCATCGTAAGCAGGGAGGGCAGCGGCTTTGGCGGCCTAAGGAAGCTGCAGGAAGGGGGCAAAAGGAGAGGGAAGGAAGGAGGGCCTTGCACGTCAACGAAGGTCTCACGCAGTGCAGGGAGTCCGCTCCACACGTCTCCCAGTGCTGAAGAGATACTGAGCCCTGTGAAAGCTGAGACTCCCAGAGGTTCCTAGGCAAAAGCTGTGGCACCGAGCAAAATCCAACAAAGACCCACAGGGCACCCCTCACGTCTGTGTTCCCACATGGGGCAAAGGGCACCAACACTGCTGGGCCCAGCAAGACTTTCTCTTGGGGCAGGGGGGAACTTTTGGAAGCCAGGACTGCATCTCTTCAGGGAGAAGGGAGGGAATGATGCAGAGCAGGTAGGACCCCATGAATACGGGCAGGAATGGGACTTTTTCCCCCTCCATGGAAGAAAGTTGTTTTCACGTTCCGAAAGTCTGTTTTAAGCTCACGGAACAATTTTCAAGAGGGGTGGGATGCAGCCACATCGCAGCTGGTTCCAGAGCAGACTCAGAGGCTTCCTGCAACCCAGCACCAGACCTGGACATAAGTGATGTCAAAGCTGCCCGCACCCGAACT